ATGCTGGAACAAAAGACTAATATTTGATTATTTACAACCTTCACATTTTTTAAGCACATAGCTTAGCCAAAGTATGGTGAATTTTGAAACAGACAAAAATGATACTCAACTAGGTCTTCTGCCCTTGAATTGAACTGGTCCCAAATCAACGATGAAAGAAGAAAACGAAAATCTTAGACTCACCTTCACCATCGTTTAGATGTGCATCAGCAATATCTTGATTTTTGAGTTACACAACAATCCTGCGAGATCGTGCTCGCAGAAAGCAAAGACAAGCTAAAAAGTGGAACGTCACGATTGTGGGCAGATGCTAAAAAACGGTAAATCACATTGATTTAGCTCGCCTTTACTGCTGCGAACTTCGATGAGATCTGTTACTTTTTCATGTTTGAGCTACTGATCATCTTTAGCGCAAGGCACTGATTGGAAACTGAAAATAAAATGCAATTTGAATCAAATCTAGTAAGTAAAGCAAATCTAGTGCACAAACTAACCCTTTCCTTTCCCTTTTCCATCAAGATCTTCTTCAAAGCCATCGTTCTCCCAGATCTTTGAACATCGTGCCTTGAAGATCTCGCTAAATAAGAAAAGAAGTAGTAACAATAATCGAAAAACGAGACAATTTCTACCCAAAAGTTCCATGTCCAATCTTTATGAGTTTTTCGTAGTTGCTGACAGCAGTTATATAGGGAAGCTTGAACTCTTCAAGCTTCCCTATATAACTCTTTAACTCTTCAACTCTCAATGCCAACAACGACCGGCAACGCTGTTAGCCCTAGCATCCTCCTCAATGCATGCCAAGGAGCAGTGTGTAGACGGTACGAGCAGAAAAGTGAACCAAATCAGGATTCCGTCGACAACGTCTACGATAGTACCCTGCCCATGGATGTGATACGCAAACATAGATTGACGATAAAAATTTTTACCACAAATGTAATGAAACAAAAAATTATTGAAAGGATGAAGTAGGAAGACAAGCCAACCTTTGGAAGTAGGAAGTTGAATTGATCTTTTCTCCAAGATGCCTTTATGGCAATGGCTCACCTTTGGTTTTGACCAAAAACAGACACTCACAAACGAGAACTTTTCTGGAAGAGATATACTTAGGTGAAATTAGCGTTTCGGAAGCACCACTTTCGAAAAAACGACGAAACTAATAACTGCTCCTCAAAACGTTAACGTCAAACTGTATTCCGATCTTTGGAAATCGGGCAAAAGCATGAGAGGCATTGCTCTTCAATGCACGACGATACGAAGGATAATTTTTTCTGAGCACAGAATAATGGACCTCAACCATGAAGCTGCTCAAAGACGGATGTAGATACAAAAGATACACATCGGTAATGAAAGGCAGAAATCATGACAGTCACCCAAACAATCGTTTCATCCCTCAGCTATATGGAAGAACGCAGTATTTCGGTGATTTTTTGAATGTATTCTTACTGCTTTTGACGTAATGTACCTAAAATAGAAAAGAAAATGACAAAAATGTAGAAATCGATCAAAAATCCGCTAGATAACGAGATGAATGTCATGAACCTGCCGGCATCTCGACATGGTCCGACCACGACGAGATGCCGGCAGGTTGCACTCCTCAATATGCACGCTATTTTCCTTTCTTTGCTGACATGAGGGCGAGATGCCGGCAGGTTGAGGGCGAGATTGTGGCAGAAATCTCGACAAAATACCTCACGAAGTTGCCGGCAGGTCAATCTTTTGGGTCCAAAATTTGGAGTTGTCGGGATTTTTCGGATTTTTTTTCGATCTCCATCTGGTGCCCACCTCTAAACTGGACCGTCAGTCCTGGAGAGCGCCAAACTGATTGCTTTGGGGAACTTATAGAGGGCGCTGACAGTTTTCATGACCTGAGGGCGAGATCGCGGCGAGTTGAGGGCAAGACCTGCCGGCAGGTAGGGTAGATTACTACGGGCCCAGGTTTCATTTCATCGAAGATGCTGTTATTGACTTTAGAGCTGCGAATAAGCGCTATAGCAGATCAGAAATAGGACTGGAACTCTAAAACAAACAGTACCTAAACGAAATCTCCTAGATTCAAAACATGCCCAAGATGAGTTCTCGTTCAGGGCGTTGGGTGTCACACATACCCACCTATTGAAGATTATGTCCATGAATAGCAATTTCTAGACACGCGATTCATTCACAGCGTACTTGATGACTTCATACAAGCCTAACATCCCATACTCATGACCAGCCTGTAACAGTACGCAATTGCGACTGAAACTCGGGCCCCGGCCAGACTTCGCTCAAAAACGCCCAAAAGCGCCCAATTTTTTAAAATGTCTCTTCACCTTTTCGTGTGAAGAGTGAGGAGAGGTTAGAGAAGTTTGGACGCTTTTGAGCGCTTTTGGGCGCTTTTGTGCAAAGTCTGGCTAGGCCTCAAACTTTCTCTCGAAGTTATCAACCGTTTACAAATTGAGGGCTAGAGTTCGAGAAGATTTCGGTCAACCACAAAAAATGATTACCGCCAGATTGTTGTACTAAAAACAAAAATGAATGGAATAACTCTGCAAAAGCATAAGCAATCCCGAACTAACGCTTGCATATCGGCCATTTGAAGGTCGTTTGAATCGATAACAATGATCACAACGGAAGCCGAGGACAAATTGCGATTTGACTCATATTAGCCTCCTGCAGAGCTACTTTCTTCCGCTCACAGACAATGTTGTCATTGAAATGAATGAGATTAGCGCACTTCAGCGCACACCAGTAATGTGAGGGATGCAGTTTTCCATAGTGCAAAGCCCGAAGTGCAAGTTAGGATGGTTCTAAAATTCCCTTCCATTCAATTGGATTGGCGGCTGGAGAGCAGTGGGCTTCGCGGTCTAATCAAGGTTTTAGAGAATGATCAGAGAGCAGGCTCGCGCGAGAGATGCAGACTGCCATCGCCTGTGCAAGCGGTCCCTTTTCAGCCGCCAATCTCATGAAAACAGTAGAAGAAGTTTAACGAAAGTGGTTGTGCCCAAGAGAAAATTGAAACAAGTGACCTGTTCAATCACGCTCGGAGAATCCTTCATACACAATACCTGAAACCCAGTCATACACATTGACCGGGTTCCAGGTATGAAAGGAAGGCCCACATTAACCTCACAGAACGTCGCATTTTTCAAACGACATCATGGACGGCGGATTGCGAAGCACACTGCATACGACGCCTTTCGAACCCATACCTAAGCTGGGTCGCATAGCAATATTGCATTTGCATGTATTCTCCGTGTGAATCCTTCCCGATGGCCCAAACAGCAGATGCTTCCAAATACCGCTAAATTCACTGCACCTAATAAAGTAAGCTTTCTGACTGAAACGGGAAGAAAACTTCATTTGGACTTCACTCGGATTATATACTTGTTGTTTCGAAAATCCAGAATTAATCACAAAAACCACTCCATCAATAGTCAACGATGTCTCAGCAAGTCGAAAAGAGCCAAACACTGAAAGTGATTAAGTGCATCCGCACGAAAATCTGATACATAAACCTGAAAACGAGGAACTTACAACAACATAAATGCCAACGCGACGAAGAGCAACGCTGGGTAGAAAAGGAACGGTAAAGAAACGCGGAAAAACAACAAAAAGTCGAAAACGAGGGCAGCTATTTTCGAAAATGCTGAGCTGCGTAACACAGCAAATTGGCTGCGTACCTATTGTGCTCCGGAGACCTGCCATTTTCTGCTCCAGGGCCCTCCCATTTGTGCTTCGGAGACCTCCCATTTGTGCTCCGGAGACCTCCCATTTTGTGCTCCGGAGATCTCCCATTTTGTGCTCCGAGACCTCCCATTTTCTGCTCCGGGGCCCTCCCATTTGTGCTCCGGAGATCTCCCATTTGTGCTCCGGAGCCCTGCCATTCTCTGCTCCGGAGGTGTCCCAAATCTGGCGCACTCGCGGCGGGCAAATCTCTGCTCCGGGGCTCTCCCAAATCTGGCGTACCTCCGGAGCAGAGATGGCGTACCTCCGGAGCAGGTCCGGAGATGGGTCCCATTCGCCTGCTTGTGACGTCACCGTGACCTACAAGAAGGGACCGCCCTCTCGCCCCGCTCTCATTGGTCAATTGGGTCCGCCGCGGTTCTGCCAGATTTTGACTGTCCGCCGCGACTATGGCACCGATTGTCTAAGTAAGAGTTCCCTTAAGGGAGATCCGATTTTTTGATTTTTGGCTCCAGATTTTACTAGATCACGATTTAGGCGAATCTTTAGTCGTCATTTTGTAGAGCTCGTTTCGCTCCACCGCTTTACTTCTCTAAGTCTGCTGGACAACAAAACCTGGTTTTTTTCCAAAAAAGGAGTTTGCATTTGGGACAACCTAATATACAGTAATGGAGAAAATTATAGGTCCACTCCAAAAAGACGCCATAACTCACTCTGTTGTCAAGAAAATATTTTGAAATTTGGTACAACCGTGTGTTTACCAGTCTACTAACGGTCTTTAAAACGGGTCTCGTTTTCGTTTGGTTATTCAAGAAAAAAAATCAATAATTTTGAAAAAGCAGACTTGAACTCTGGTCAAAATTATAGGTCCACCTGGAATTTTTACTGATGGAAGCACTTTCTGGCTTCCGAATGTTGTTAGGTAGGTACACATTTAGAAGTTTTAAGTAGCTGCCTTAGTCAAGCTGTGTCGTACCCCCAAATGGACCGATTATCTGCGTTTTTTTGCTTTGAAACAGCATGTATTATTTTGCCCCAGAAACCTGCTTTAAAGGCACCGTCAACCCTAAGTTGAGGGTGTTGAGCTTTGAGCGGCATATAATAGTAGGGCCCCCTATTGAGCCAATGCCCAAGTCGCGCCGCAAAATGCCGCTTCGGAAGCGAGAAAATCGCTCCAGAATAGCAAAGATGCACGTGGACCCCCATCCATGCCCACCTCTCCCCATCCATGCCCGCCCATCCGGTCGATTTCGCTCGGACACGCAGGCTGTAAGCGCACTACAGCGAGACCGTCAAGTGGCGTCTTGTAGGGGTAAATGCCGTACGAGTATTTTGCAAAATCTCTCATATTCTCGACTGGCTTCTCGATATATGAGCGTTTTTTGTACTTCTTGATGTATTTATGTATCCTTCCTGATAAAGTTACAACAGTCGTGCAAGGAGGCAGTCTACTGGAAGCAGGTTTGGCTGACGGTTCCAGCACAACATTACCGTCAGATGCTTTCAGCGAGCTAAGGTAGGTAGTTTTTTGTAATTGTTCTCGCTCAAGGAACTTCCAATCATACTGTGTTTAGAAAACAATCTCTTCTTTTGATGAGGGAGCCGCTGTCGACGCTGCGCAAAAATGTTACGGAGAAAATTACAGAGAAATGTCATGTTGCCCTGAACGATCATCAATTGAAGGTATGTATGTCGCGCTGTTTTTATCTCTTGACGTTATTTCGAGTCCATTGACTTTGAAACTTGAATAGTTCCACCCTGCTTTGCTTTGATGCCTGCTAGAAATCACTTTTTCACCTTACTTAGCTATACGTACAATGAAAGTGCTTGATTGCAAATAGTTCATCATTTCTCATGAATTCGGTAATTTTTTAAGATGTGTTTTAGACCAATGATGAAAGAGAGATTGAACATGGGGATTTTCTACGATTTGGATCTGAATTTTTGCGGATACATGTGCATTTCGGTGAGTGGATTTCCAGTGAGACTTGATGTCATGTTGCCGTTTCCCTTCTCATTTTTTTTTAAAAGAAGCGATATTAGAAATTTAGAGCTTTGCTAGCAGATGTTTATACGTGTTGGTTATTACTGCTAATGGGTTCTATGTAGGCAGTCAGTTTCTGTGTGAAAGACGCTGCAAGAAAAGGAAATCTTGTGGAATCCATAAATGTCAAGAGTAATGCTGTACAAACCGAACATATATGCATGCAAGTATGTTTTTTGAACTTCTTTTGACTCATTCAGCATCAAAATAGTCTTGTCAATTTTATAATTAGCACCTTGTCTTATTTTTAGATCTGCAACAAATGTCTCTCATGTGGTCTTTGTTTTTGTGAACACATCTGTCATGTTGGACAATGTCCGAGATGTTTGAATTCAAGTAAGTTTTCGTACATGTGTGAGAAATGTTTTCTTCTAATCTTTCTATAACTCCAGTTCCACTGAAAGAAATTGCTCACATTAACTTCATTGATTGAACATCCACTCAATAATCCTTTTATTCAGGTAAGAACAATACTGTCATTGCGGGCGCATTACGCGACCACCTCCAATACCTTGTGCCGCATACTGTCGAGCAGATGGATGTGTGCAGAAGAAACAGATGTAGTCAAACAGATTTATTATTATCTCTTTGATTCTAGATGATGATCTCATCGCATCACGTAAATTTCTTTGTAAATTAATCAAATAATCTAACCAATGTTGTACATATGTGTGATCGAGCACTGCTGCAGTGATTTCTTTCCTTTTTCGATTTGGTAGTTACAGGAATGGCTTGATAAATATGAGTTTGAAGTCTTTCTTTCAAGTGCACAATCGCATCGCAGAAGATCCACATCTGATGAAGCAGTCTTCTCCGTAAGACTATGAGAAAGGGAGCCGTTGCCTGGAATAGAATTTTTGAAGCTCGTGAGAATCAAGGGGCAAAAAAAGGTATACAAAGTGGAAAACAAGTTCAAATAAAGCATTCAGATAGCAAAAATGAAAGAATTTGCTGAGTTACTTGAAACTGACAAACAAAAAGTGCAAAATGATATGGAGTATGTTTATGTGTATGCCAGATGTCTCTCTGCGGATACACAAGTTCGCAATATTTCCTTGTGTGTCATGGTCGCTCTTGCCTTGTGTTAATGACAACGGAAATCTAAAACAAGTCAAACTTTCACGGATCTCGGTATGTTCTGTATTGTGAAGTGCAGGCCAGATACGGACTCTGTTGTTGTTTTTGCAGTGGCAAGTGGTGGTTGACCAAGATGCTCTGCTGACCCAAGAAGACGTTTTCATATCATACAGATCAGAAATGATATATAGCCTATAGCCTTGACCAATTATTTGTAAACAACAAAAAAATAAACAGTCTTATCCGAACGTCTATGAGGCAAAAGTGCTATTTTTGCACTGGAACACTATTTCTGAGTGAATAATATCGAATCCATCGAAGCAGCATTTTCAGATTCTATTGCGATCAACCATGCCTATCACATGCTTATGCGGCAACAAGACCGAAGAAAAATTTACGACACGTTCGTCCTCTAACAAGACCTACAATGCGATACTCCTGGCTGCATTGAACAAGTACTCATCAATCATATCAAACGAAGTGGAGTGCTTTGCAGCCATGAGCACGTGTAGAAGATACTATTGCATCAGGCACTGCACCGACGCTGTAGGTCTTTCAGCAGTTCAAAAAGAAGTACAGTAATTTGTTGTCCAGACGCAATACATTCTCGCGGAAGTGATTGCAAGCGGCGGAAGACTGTCCGAAACGCTAGATCATGTCTCATACATCAATCAGAGTGAAATTTCTGAGCATATTCTAGCAAGCGTCAATGATGCCATAAAGTCCTTTTCGGTCAGTTTGCCTAGAAGATGAAGAAAATCTGCAGCAATGAAATTTTCTAGAACAACATCACAGTCACCAACTATGATCTGATGCGTTACCTAAACGGACAATTGAAGAAATACTATCATGAGGGCAGGTGGGAAATCCCTCAGCTCGCAAATCTGGCAGAAGCTGATTATCTGCAGGTGCTTCCCCCCCCCCCCCGATGATTTAGGCTATGAACGCGTCATATGATATTCAGCCAATAACGGAAGCCGGAACATCAGGCACTCAAAACTTCGACTTCTCCATGGATTATGAGATGCTGCAAGCGCTTTCTGCAGAAACACAGAACTTAGGATCTCCAACCAAAACTGCTAGCAGCCTTCTTAGCACACCATGTGTGAAGCATACAGATTCAGGATCATCGAACAAGACTGCGGTTAGAAAGCATACTGACATCAATTCCAGCAAACTCCATCCACTAATCCTCATTCAGCTCATTTCAGAGCGGCTCCTACTTTTCGCCCGGGAAGGTGCCAACATCTGACAGCGAAGCGGCACACGAATTGGAAGAAACTGACCCCGCCCTGCTGGACAAATATTTTATTGTCCAAGGGAAAAAGCTCTTAGAGCTTTTCAACCTCAGCAGGTGCGGGTGCAGCAATGGCACCGAACCCGGAGATGTGTGCCTGGAAGTGCACGCGTCTGCCGCTATACCAATCATCAAGTACGTCACCAAAGGGCCGAAACCGGAAGTGAAAAAGTGGGAGGGCCAAGAAAAACTTGTAGAAGATGTACACAAAAAGCTGTACAGCGGAACGACCCTAGCGTGCGCAGCCGCGATAACGACAGGAGCGCGTTGGACTGTAATGAATTCAACTATCTTTTGTTTCCTTTGTAGTTCAATCTGTTCAGAAACTGAACAACTGGGCATCAGAGATGAATCTGCTGTTGCCGTGTAGTACGACATTCTACAAAAATTTCAAAAGAATAATACCGTCGATCGAAACGGTTTATGACAAACATGAAGCACAAACTATCGTGCGTATCAAGAACGCTTATGAGGTAAACCAACTAAACGGCGAATCAGCAAACTACAAGATTCCATTGTGCCACATGTTCAGAATGAAGTCCAGCCCGGATGGAATATAGCCATTGACGGGGCTTACGACAGCAGAGGCCACAGTGCGGACTTCTGCAAAGTCCTCGCCATCGATCTGAAAACTGGACTATGCGTGCATACTGAAGTTGTGCACCGGTCAGAAACAGGTATCGCTAGAGAAGAACCCATCCCACTCGGGAACTCAAATTAACATTGTAGGTGGTAAGAGTGGACGCATGGAGAAAGCCGGCTTCCACCGCATACTGCGATGGTTTAGATCAAAGAATATTCCAATTCACTCGATCTCGACCGATCGCAGTTACGCGTTCAAGACAGAGATTGAGTCTTACAACGCTGAATATGGAGATCAGGTCAGGTGGTATGTGGACCCCTGGCATCTAGCAAAGTACCTAGATAAAACCTTGCGAGCGGTAAGATTGCAAATCTCGGTCCCACTCTCTCAAATACACAGTTAGGTCGAAAAGAGAAAGGATTGCGAGGCGATTCACGACTGGAAGGACCATATAAAGGCCCATCTCTACCACTCTATAAAACACGGTGCTCAAAACAACAGCGGAGAGGTAGTGAGGCACTACTTCAATACGTGCATCTATCATGTGGCAGACATACATCGATGGCCTCAGGTGAAATACTACCTCGACCACGGACGCTTCTAACCTTCTTTTACAGAACACGCTCACAGGAGATATAACCCATTGTGACCACCAAGGTCTACTTCCTGAAGACCGAGAAAATATCACCTGGGGAAGTTTAGCACACGACAAGCTAAAAGAGGTTATTCTCCAGGATGCGTTCCAGAAAGACATCGCACTGGCTAGTCCCTATGGTGGGACTAGCCAGTGCGAGTCCAAAAACTCGCTGGACCGTATCTATGGTCCAAAAGAAGTCTACCTGTGAGTACCACAACGCAGAACCCTGTCCTCCAAAACAATTCCATTTTCCCCATTTTTAGGCCATCATCCACATACTCGCTCTATGCGAAATTGTCGTCACTGCACAAAAACGCCTTACGAATAGCAGAATTGGGTGGGGAAAGAGTAGAACAGCGAGTGACCGTAGTCCACCGAAAATTCAGTGAAAGGGAGAGTCACATCGAACGCAAGACGCCTGTTGAACATATTTGGCGTAAGGAAATCTGGATAGATTTCCTATCACACTACAACGAACGAACAAATAATGAACAGGATATGGAGTACGAAGAACTTGTGACATAATCGGTAGCCATACCAATGTGTAATCATTGTAAAACGTATATATAATCATAAACATCAACGTAAAAAAGTGGAAAAGAACTCAAAAGCAAGTAAAAAATTGAGACACACCTCGATTAGATTTCGTTGAGAACGTTACAGGAAATAGTAGAAGTAATGGTGACCGTCAGATGACCGTCGGTTTTTCGACTGATAGTCATTGTGTCCCTCAAACAATTTCGGCATTTTGGAATGTACAGCAATCACTGAAATGAGGTGACTATATTGACAACGAACATGTCTTCATGTCCCGCAAACCTTGTTGGTGTGCAAACGCCCATTGCATTCTTTGCGGCAGTCTCCCGACTCTGCAGCAACCAAATCTCATCGAAGGTATGTGAAGCGGGGCAGCATGATTCCGCAACACGTCCTAAGAAACATAGCAAATTCCGCTACAAAATCCATAACTGCAGGTACCTGTGCAAAAACAAGCGTCCGCTCCAGTTCGTATTTCTGCAAAACGTAAGCCTAACGTGACATAACTGACAAAGCAATCTGAAAACCAATCACAATGAAGGAAACTCTGAGACAATTGATTGTAAAGCAATCTGAAGTAATAGAATCTATGTATAGGCTTTCGCCCGTACTCACCTATGAAAAGATGCAGGCGTACACCACCGTTCGGCATGTACAGCGAACAAGTCAGTGAAACAGCGCGTATAAGAATTTCTACGTTGCACAAAAAGCTATCTCGCGCTGAAATACAAAACAGACACAACTCTAAACCATAGGCCAATAAAAAAGAAGTAGGACAAAAGAAGGCTATGTCATTTCTATAACACAACATACCAGGGTAACTTTTCTTGCGATGCTGACAACCAGAACATGGCACGAACATCTAATTCATCAGCAGCGACAACATTCCGTAAATTGATAACAACAACTTGGAAGGCTCACTGAAGGGAAAAGATAAACAAAAGAAGATCAAGATGCAGGAACAAGAGAAGCATAACGCAATAATAACATTGGAAGCTAAAGAATAAGACGATGAGGAGTGTCGGCGCAATTGCGCCCGACGACTTTTCAGATGACGCATAACAGCGAACCCCGAGAGCCTGCGATATCGTACTCGTCCACCCTTCTCAGAAAGGGTTCTCCAAAACGGAGAATCACGGGGTTTTCGCGGATTCTCGACCTCATATTCAGAATCAGGGACACGAGAAAGCCCTGAAACGCCAAAAACCTGGAAGTCGAGAATCTGGGTGGGCGGTGCCTTTAAGTAGGAAAATCTGCAGTTTATCAGCTGGATTGCAAGCGACGGGGTTTCATCTTTTGGCTTGTTGCTGCTGAAGCAAGTCCAACATCGACGTTACTGCAACCTGAGCTCAAATTTCTCCTAATTTCTTCTACAATGTCCTCAGAAGCATTAAGTAAAGTAAAGACATTGTTTTTATAAAGAGGAGTCCTTATTTCATGGTTAAACTTTCTAAACATCGTAGCATTCAAGTAATTACGGAATCACCCTGCAGAAATTGAATGCGACAAGCACCAAAGCTAATTGTCGTTCTAACCAAATCAGGAAAATCTTGTGCTAACATACTGTAACAGGCGCTATAATTGGAATCAGCGAATGCTGATTCCAAATACGCTGTCCCTTGCGGGACATTACTCTAAAAAGAGTTATGAGCTTTTACCTGTGCAAAATTGCCATACTATCCAACATGAGAAGGCTGCCTGTAGATAGAAATCTGCGTAAAAATGGTGCCGAGATACTAGGATACTATCAGATTGAGTCTTTGTCATTGACAAGAAACTTTACCAATAAATTAGCACTTAGATGATGGTACCGTAATGCTGGTATAGGGCTGCGCGACGAATACGCAACATCGTATGCGCGAGCGCGGCTTTATTAGCCGCAGAGCGCATGAGGCGCTGCTTTTACAACGGTGAGGATACGCGCACTGCCTTCGCGCCCGGTCAACTAACACTGCGCCTTCGTCCTGCAGTAGCTTTTAGGTCAAAGAGCATGCAAATTTAAAAAATTAATAACTCGCTTAAAGGCACCGTCCACCCAAAATGTGGTCGATGAGATTTTGATGCCTAACAGTAGTGGGGCCCCCAGCTGTATACTTGCCCAACTCACGCTGCCAGAAGTTGCTTCCGAAGAGAGAAAATTGCCTCAAAATTGCTTTGGGTGAGGGATTCGTAACGTTGGCTCCTCCCCTTTGAGTAGGTCTGACGTTCGTCCCGCCCATTTGAGTGCACCTAATCAATCACCGTCCCGCACAACTCGCCCTGCGGGCTCTCCGAAACGGGGTTTGTCTGGGTTTCGCGGATTCTCGACTTGATATTCGGAATCAGGGACATGAAAAGTTTCCGGAACGACAAAAACATGGAAGTCGAGAATCTGGGTGGACGGTGCCTTTAACCCATTGACGACGATGTGGACCACCGGTGGCCTACGCACTTTTTGCTGCCAGGGACGATGTGGACCACCGGTGGCCCACAGCCCTTGCAAAATCATATGCTTTCCAGGCCCAGCATTTTTTCCACAGTTCAGTTTTTCTTTTAATTTTTTGCACTCTTGGAACCTGTGGACTTCGTCGTCCAAGAAGATATTTGTAGTCGTTTACAAAACAACTTTACATCTTGTGAATACTCACAAAACTTTCCCACGCTGAAAGTGTTGTGCAAAATCGCGTCGTCCCACAGCGCCGCCATGCAAAATTAGGCGTCGTCGTCAATGGGTTAAGGATGTGCCGCAGCTGGAACCAATCTATATGGAACTAGCGATGAAGCTGATTCCAACCATACATGTTTAGATATGAAAAGCCTTCCCTGCTTAGATTGAATCCTAAACCTGTTAAGGACCGGGCATACTTTAAGCGATTTCAGTCGCGACGCGATTTGGCAGTATTCCAACTGTCCATAAGTCGCTGTAAGCAAATTCTAAATGTACAAAAGATAGAGCATTTCATCAACCACGTAAGTTATACACACTATGCATGTGCAGTTTGCTAGTGTTGGATATGAAGACTTCTGGCGAATTGCCAAATCGCGTCGCGACTAAATCGCGTGAAGTATGCCCGGCCCTTTAGAGCCGCTGTAGGAAACAACAGATTTCTCCTCTTGGAATATACTAGTGGAACATTATCCTTTTTTCCGTTAACGTAGCAGATTTAACTAAGAGATTTAGGAGCTGCAAAAAGCAGAAATTACTTGCTCCCTTTTGTTGGGCTCCCCAAGACACCACTATGTCCCCTTTCTCTCTTCTTATACAATCTCAGAATGTGACCAAGAGTACATCCGTGCTTTATCTTGGTCATAATTTCAAACAACAGTGGGTTGAACTCCGAACAATAATTTACTTTGTTAAGTTGTTACTACATTTGTTTTCTTTCATCATTTTTTTTATCTTTTCGTGTACACTGAATAAACCATTTAGTTGCAGCGGTTTGCTGTTATGTTGAGTTGCTTTTCATGAAAAACCATTTTCTGAATGAAGTAATCGACGCTTTCATTGGGAATTGCAAGTGTCTTTAGAGCTTCTTCTAAAATGTTGGAGTACCCCAGACCACGGATAAATCTGTAAAGATATTAGAGTATCGTATTATATATTTTTTACTTTATGTAAGCACTATACTTGAGGGAAAATCGAATTGTTTTTCGAATATTCGAATATCGAGTATATTCAAAAACTAAAATTTCGAATATTCGACTGTCGAATAATATTCGAAATTCGAGATTTCGAACATTCGATTATCGAATATTATTCGAATAATTGAATGTCTATGTGATATAATAACATGGCCAAGCGCATAGTTTACAAGTACTGTGGGTCTTTATGGTTCCCTTATGCGACTAGTATTCTGCAGTGCATGAAGTATGTCTCAGCGCGCTGCGCGGACTCTCTACATACAGCCCGTGCTGTCGACAACTCGACGATACACATATAGTACACACATTGTTGAACTATGTAAGTGCTATACACACAACTCTCGAATGGGCACTCATGGCAATGAGCAATCCCTCTCTTTGGCAGTGCGATAAGCTAGACCACTGATGGAAATGCTATACAGTGACTGGTTCTACCATATCTTTGTTCTCACACTACAATAAACGACGAACTTCTTGACCCAACACTAGTCCTTTCGGTCATTAGTGCAATTACTTTGACCTTCTTTTCCAGATTTCGACTGAATCGTACCGTAGCTTGAAAGAGGCGGTGATCGGAGCCATTATAGAACGATGGAACCGCTGAGACATCGAGCAAGCTCCACCTATGGCTGGTGAGAATGTGGCTGACTTCGCGAGAGTCGTTCCGCCATTGGGCGATTTTCGTGTCCACCGGCGATGTTCTTATTTCATGAAGATGGAATTTCCATGGAAAGTCGTGCGGCGGAGAGAACCAACGAGACGGTTGCCGTTTTTGTTCCGGAGCCCATATCCATTCCCGATTCTGTATCCCTTTTCTAGCATCCCATTTTCCGTTAAAATCGCCCATAGCAAACTTGTAGGAGGACTTTTCGTTGAGGACGACCTCCTTCACATTTCGTAAAAAGCATCGAGTTATGATTTGTCAGCTGCTGATGTCGCCCTCACGTAGCTTTTCTGATTACTACGTATTTTTGGTATTTACAGCTTGCCGATTAGAAAGTGAAAAAAAAAACCTAAAACCTTACCTAAATGAATGCGGATAAAAATGATTGTTTTTGAATTTTAAATGTGCTTAATTCATAGTATGGGACTGATTGTAGTGCGCTTGGCTCACTGCAGCTAACATACTCGGCAGTCTAACAGCATGAGAAAAATCACTGCTAAGGATCCGGGCTTACCTCGATTTCAGTCGCGACGCTTTACAATACTCCAGTTGCTTATAACTCGTCGCAAACTCAATTTAAGCACACGAAAAATAGTACATTTTATCGACTCGCAAAAGTTGAATACGCCAAGCACTTGTGGTCCGCGAGTAATGGCTTTGAAGTGGCAAATGGCCAAATCGCGTAGCGACTGAAATCGCGAGAGCCATGCCCAGAGCCTAAAGAGTCATTTTATACTCCTCAATCCCCCCCATTCCGCAAATGTGTCGCAAACTTTCTGAGGGTGGTCTACACAAGTCACAAGACTGCGACAGCGACTTGTATTTCCCTGCAAATTTGACATGAATTTTAGTGGACGTCACACTTCTTTTTAAATTTCAGGAAGCATCCAAAGACTACCTCCTAGTAACTCTATTTGATATGAGAATCCAGGGTTGGTAGTAATCTGGTTAACCTCCGAGTTTAGAACCCGGCGGATAACTCTGATTTCCGTTTCTGAAATTCAAGTTTTGCCTATTAAAGCCCTTGGTTCTGCTTTCAAAATTCCATGTTCCAACTCCCAAATTCTGAGTTGCGATCTGCTGTTTGAGGAGTTACGCATGTTACTGGGAAAGCGACGGTCAAGTTGAGACCCGCCTGTTTGGTCTAGCGCGATGATCCTATCCGCTACCACTAGGCCGCGGCACACCCTTCAACACCCTTCACCCTTGCTCTGCTTTGATGTATTCGCCTCACTAACACGAGGCATGTCAAAACTTGTTATATGAGAGACTTAATGATTTTCATTTTCATCGAGGAATGATGGCTTATTGCACGGAATGGTCTACAGATAGAGAAAGCAGATAGGGTACGCAATGAAAAGAATGGACTATTTATAGTCCACGACTTACCGGATGCTCGCCGTAATCTTGCTAGATGACACCATCACATGAAGGGTTTTGTGAACATGTGGTCAGCGCGCCGTAAATCTTAACCAAATTCAAGCCAATTTTGTGCTTTCAACCCACTTACCTTATATCTACCGTAATTGCACCATTGTACGCAATATATAGGCTGTCCATGACCTGGACCCCGAATAATCCCAGTGTACTAAGTATCAGTTACCCTAATTTCACGACTACATGACGCACCCCTTTTT